TGTGTCTATATCCTATTTCATGAGCGCTATAGAGTCAAGCCTTTGGTCTCATAGCAAGTGGCACCACCTCCTACACTCATGTAGGTAAGCTTACTGAGAGTACCCCTATAAATTATAGTACCCTAACAACCTAGTTGTGAGCTTATTAAGAGTTTGCTAACTCGTCCTCTTCTTTTCACATTACAGGTACCAAGCACTTCAACCTTGGGATGAAAATGAAATAAAACTAAGTGCTTGCAGTCACACCATATGGTGTACTTAGGCTTATTGAACACAAGACTTGATGTTTCTTCAAGCATTGAGTCGAGTTTCCACCAGGAGTGATTAGGTTAAGTGGGCTTAAGACCCATCTCCTTTGATGTTTTCCACACCAAATCACTTGCAAGTCCCTTTGTTAAGGAGTCAGCCAAGTTTTTACTTGACTTTACATAACTAATGGTAATCACGCCTTCTGTGATTAACTGCCTGACACAGCTATGTCTTAGTCCTATATGCCTGGACTTTCCATTATAGACATGGCTATAGATTTATGATAGAGTTGTTTTACTATCACAATGCAAAGATATTGGTGGCATAGGTTTTAGCCTATCTTAATCTCTAATAAGAGATTCCTTAGCCATTCTGTCTCTTTGCTACAAGAAGCCAATGCTACAAACTCTAACGTCATGGTTGAGTCTGTTATGATGTTCACTTCTTAGAACCCCAAGAGATAGCTCCTCCTTCAAGAGTAAAAATACAACCATTCGTGGATGAGTGATCTTCACAATCAGTTATCTAACTTGCATCCGTGAAAATATTGGATAGCTATTATGACTATTCCATAGTCTATTGTTTTCCTCAAGTACCTAAGTATTCAGTTAACAGCATGCCAATGCACACTAGTGGGATTACTAGTGTATCTACTAAGTTTTCCCACTGCAAATGCAATATCAGGTCTAGTACAAGTCATGGCATACATCAAGTTACCTATCAGTCTTGAGTATTCTAGCTGATCAAAGCTCTTCTAGTATTAGGATACAATTTCAAATTTGAATCAAAAGGTATAGACATGGGTTTACAATTATATTGATTAAATTTCTTAATAATTTTCTCAATATAGTGCGACTGGGTAAGAATTAAATTATTGTGTTCTCGTTTGATCTTAACACCTAGAATTATATCAGCCAAGCCCATGTCTTTCATGCTAAATCTAGACGACAAGAAAATTTTAATACTTTCAATGACATCACTATCAGTACCAAAAATAAGCATGTCCTCTACATATAGACATATGATTACACCTCTATTGTCAGTAAACTTACTGTACATACACTTATCAGAATCATGTATCCTAAAACCATTTGACACTATTACTTTGTCAAATTTCTCATGCCACTGATTTAGAGCTTGTTTTAGTCCATATAGTGACTTCACGAGTTTACACACTTTGTGTTCTTGACCCTATACAACAAATCCTTCCAATTGTTGCATGTAGATTTCCTCATCTAACTCTCCATTTAGGAAAGTGATCTTAATATCCATTTGATGGATTTCAAACTTGTAGATTGAGGCTAAGGCGACCAACACTCGAATGGTGGCAATTTTGGCCACCGGAGCATATGTATCAAAATAATCAATACTCTCTTTTTGAGTAAAACCCTTAGCAACTAATCTTGCTTTGAACTTGTCAATTGTGCCATCAACTTTAATTTTTCTTTTGAAAATCCATTTACAACCAATTGGTTTAGGTCCAGGTGGCAAATCAACAAGTATCCAGGTATTGTTACCCATGATAGAATTCATTTACCATTATACGTATTACACTTTGGTTAGCAGATCCGCAATATTACTCCGCTAGCACAAGTTTTGATCAACAAGGAATATTCTCAAGAAAATGGCAAAGCCATTCAACTACTTTAGTAGCTTTTTCTGAAGCACTGAACTCTGACTCCATCGTTGATCTCGTGATACACATCTGTTTGGAAGATTTCTACGACACAATTGCACCTCCAATAGTGAAAACAAATCCACTAATGGATTTGTAGTCTATATATCAGATATCCAAGTGACGTCTTTGTACCCTTCTAGTACAACCAAATATCTGGGATAATGCAACCCAGTCTTAGCTTCATTGTAAGTACCTTAGTCCTCCACAATCACCTTCTAAAAATAGGCATTGGGATTACTCGTGTATCTACTTAGCTTGCTAACTGAGTAGACTATTATTGGCCTTATACAACTCATCAGATACTTTAAAATTCCAACGACTCGAGAATATTCTATTTGAATTACACTCACTATTATTCTCTGCCAAATGTAGACTCAAGTCTACCGGTATCCTTAACACACTTGTATCTGATTTACTAAATTTCTCAAGTATTTTATCAACATAATGAGACTGAGAAAGTATAATAATGCCAGATGTTCTAGTAATCTTAATACCCAGAATCACATCTGCAAGGCTCATATCTTTCATGTCAAATATAGAGTTTAGCAATTTCTTGGTAGTTCTAAACATCTCATCATTACTACCAACAATGAGTATGCCATCAACGTATACATACAAAATGACATAACCTTCGTCATTGTCTTTGACATATACAAACATGATGTCTGCTTGGTATTTTTGTTGAAAAAATGCTTCAAAAAAGTAGAGGACTTGAACTGCAATTATTTTTTCATGGCCTTAAACTAGCATAAACTTGTAATTAAGGAGCTTCCGCCAAATCTTCCTAAAGTTTTTTTTTTTTCTCCAAAATATCGGAATCTTACTCTCTTTTTTTTATATAAATAAAATGAGTAACATATTTAAAAAACACACACACAAAATAAAATAAAATAGTAACCGTTAAATAAGTGAATGGCTCGAGGTAAATTTTAACCCCAAACAACTCCTAAAATTTTTAAAAATTAAAAATATCCAAAACATACTAGTGTTTTCCATTTCATATTTTAGCAAAAAAACTAAAGTCACTTTTTGGAAAGTGCTAAAAAAGTCCGTTTATTGAGTTATTAGGTTATTTGAGCCACCTCACCGGAAAATTATTCAATATATTTTGGAGTATTGCACATCTTTTCATACGGCTTCTCTCAAGTTCATAATCGGACTAAAGAGATGATGTTCGGCCTAATGAGCCCACTTTTGAGTCTTGTTTCGATAATCTGAATCGTTCATATTTTAAAATTTATCAAATACTTCATTCTTGAAAAATATAAAGTTGATCAGATAATGGTAACATGTTCAAATCAATTTTATATGAACTGTTTATTTTCTCATTGTTTATTTTTTCATTGTTCATTTTTTTTTCCATACAAAACTAATCTAAGTGCTTGGTTTTCGTTATTCGATCGACTTGATTTTTTTGCAGGAATGACATACTCGATGAATCCTAAAATATGAACGATTTGAATCATCAAAACGGGGTCCAAAATTAGGCCCATTGAGCCAAACAACACCTCTCCAGTCCAAGTAAAAATTGTAATTTTTTTAATACTTCTCAAAAAGAACTTTAAAAAATTATTAAAATAACATATTTTGAAAACAATCTTAAAACATTTAAGATTTTTCTAATCAATTCCTATATTTTAATTTTAAGAATTAAGCCTCGTTTGGTAATATCATTTTCTAATTTTTTTTTTTTTTTTTTTTTTTTTAAACTAAAAAACTAAAAAGACTATTCCTAAACGAGGCCTTAGACCTCGTTTGGGAACATGCTATTTTATTAATTTTTTGACTTTTAATTAAAATATGAAATAAAAAAATTATATATTTGGAATGATTTTTGGATTTTTTATAAAAAGATTTGTAAAAAGTAAACAAAAAAAGAAATATTTAATTTTTTAATATAAATTATAAATTATTTGATTTTTTTAATAAATTTTTAATTTTTAAACTAAAATTATTACTTTCTAAATGAGGCATTAATTGCTCTTTAATCTTAGGGGTTGTTTGGGGTGTCCTATATAAGTGTACTTTTTATCTTTTTAGATTAAAAAATTGAGAAAAAAATGATGTTTGGATTAACTTTTTGACTTTTTATGAAAAAATATGTATTAAAAAATTGTATAAAGAAGTGTGTAGGAGAAGATTGGAGAGGTGTGGGCCACAGCCGTACAATCTGCACAAGTGAAATGGGAGTAAGAAATTATTGGTTACGTTTCAGGCATTGCACTGGACGGTTTTGTTCGGCCCATGACGGTCATCACGGGTCCCATTTTGACAATCTGAATCGTTCAATGTGTAGAACTCGTCGAGTACTATATGTCTATAAAAAAATCACGTTGATCGGATATCGATAGTTATCTGATCAGATTTATTTTTTTTTCAATCGTTAATTATAACACCATCCATTTGTTGTACATAACTGATTTAATCATGCAGTTATCGATATCCAATCAATATAATTTTTTACAGACATATAATACTCGACGAGTTCTACACATTAAACGGTTCAGATTATCAAAACGGGACCTATAATGGCCCCCACGGGCCAAACAACAACCATCTAAAATTACACCAAATCATTTCATTTTGTCAACAAACGCAGCACAGCTTCTGCACATAGATGATATAAAAGTTGTACTTTTATTTAGAAATTTTGTTTTTTATTTTTTTTTTTGATAAATAATGATAGATTTTTAATTTTTTAAATAATTTTTTAATTTTTTACCTCTTTAAATTTATGCCAAACCAGTCCTAGTTTGGCAATTTAAGAAGAGAATATATTAGCATTACCCTTTTTTTGTGTAGTACCAGTATATGTTACAGTGCTCCACTGGGCTACTGCTGCGCTGCGAAGTAGAGTACAGCTAATGCAATCGATACTGACTTCACACCAACCTCCTATTAATCCCCTACTCCACCGCCCCATATATACTCCTCTACTTGTCCACTCTCTTCCATCTCTTCATTTCCACCCCCCCCTTCTCTCTCTCTCTCTCTCTCTCTGTCTCTCTCTCTCTCTCTATAAACACACAGTCACAGTACTACTACCACTACTCTCTCTCTCTCTCTCTCTCTCTCTGAACACAGTCACAGTACTACTACCACTACTCTCTCTCTCTCTCTCTCTCTCTCCCCGTTTGTATTTCATAATAACAAACAATGGACTACGGCAGGCTCGGAAAGACCGAGCCTGGATCCGAACCACTTCCGAAGCAACAGTCTGACCCCACGTCGAATCCCCCACTGACGAAAAGCCTAAGGCCGAAGCTCCTTTTGGTCTTCGCAGCCGCCTTTCTTGTCGCCTCGGGCGTGTCGGTAGCAATCATCATCGGGATCCGGGCCCGAGCCTCAAGCGGGTCCGGAGCCACAGTCCACAGCAGGAAGCCAAGCCTGGCCATATCACGAACCTGCAGCAAAACTCGGTACCCGGATCTCTGTGTCAACTCGCTCCTCGACTTCCCGGGCGCCGTCTCGGCCAGCGAGCGCGACCTCGTCCACATTTCGGTCAACCTGACGCTCCAGCGATTCGGCCGAGCCCTCTACGCCTCCTCCGAGATCAACAACCTCGCCATGGACACTCACGTACGGTCCGCCTACGTGGACTGCCTCGAGCTCCTCGACGACTCGGTCGATCAACTCACTCGCTCACTCACCTCTGTTTCTATTTCTCCCGACGGCAATGTACGGCCGGTGGAGTCCACTCCCGACGTGCTGACTTGGCTGAGCGCCGCTTTAACCAATCAGGACACGTGTACGGAGGGATTGGGGGATGTGAGTGGATACGTGAAGGATCAGATGGATGAGAAGCTTAAGGACTTGTCGGAGTTGGTGAGTAATTGTCTGGCAATTTACTCGGCGGCGAACGGGAACGATGATTTCGTCGGAATTCCGATTCAGAATCGCCGGAGACTGATGGAATCCGATGATCGCCGGGATGAATTGCCGGAGTGGTTGAGCAGGAGGGAGAGATTGCTGCTGGAATTGCCTGTGGCGGCGATGCAGGCAGATATGGTGGTGTCAAAAGACGGTAGTAACGGAACTTATAAGACCATTTGGGAAGCGATCAAGAATGCGCCGGAGAAGAGTAATCGGCGAATCATAATCTACATCAGGGCAGGAAGGTAACTTCCTTTGTCAATTATAGCGAAAAAGTGAAACTTTTCTTTCTTTTTTTTTAAAAAGATATATTTTTAGTACGTGAAATGACGAAAATAGGATGGATCATTTTCTATTCTCGTAATTCAGTCATATTCGTATTCATATCCATTTCCATATCATATCCTTTTTTCAATTGAATTGATATCCATATCCATATCATATCCTTTTTTCAATTGAATTGATTTAGTTGTTGACTTCAACGTCCATCATCATCATGCAAACTCGATTTTTATTCACGTGAATTAACAATATTTTTACTTTCTTTTTGGAAACAATAAAATAAAGGCTGAGGATTCCTTCTAATTCCTTGTTCATGTTATTCATAATTATTTGTTTAAAAATCTTTTATAGTTATGTGATTGTGAGAGACTAAGACAATAACATATAAAAGTTTTAGGATAGAGAATTGATGACTTAAAATGGAATACTATATCATATTTTTGGTATTGATTTTCTTGATATTTTTTTACCACATTAAACGGTTTTTTTGGGAATATTTTTGTATCACCTTTACCTAAAATATTTGTTTTTAATTCTTTTTTTTTTTTAAATAATTATAGAGATTAATAATCTGTCATGTACCCGGTAATATATTACAATACTTAGAAATATTAGAACAAGTTGTAAGGTAATTTTGTAATAACGACAGCAATCAAATGGAAAAAAAGAAAAAAAGAAAAAGAAAAAAGAAGAAGATGGAACTAAGAACCAAATTCATTAGATGTGTTTTTGTTTGGTTGGTTTGTTTGTTTGTTTGTTTGTTAAATAAGGTACGAAGAAGACAATTTGAAAGTGGGGAGGAAGAAGACGAATCTGATGTTTATAGGGGATGGTAAGGGCAATACCATAATTTCTGGTGGTAAAAGCGTGGCCGATAAGTTAACGACATTCCACACTGCATCGTTCGGTAAAAATTCCTTTTCTCACTTCCTCTTGTTTATTCATTTTTAAAGTTTCTCCTTTTGTGTGTTCTCCTTTTGTCTTAAAGTTTCACTGTTGTTTCCTTTATTTTTACATTGATTAGAATTGTTAAAAGAACATAAAAATGCCCTCATAAAAAATGATGTGACGTCGCACTAATATTTTTATCTTTATAATATAAAAAATTATTTTGTTTTCTGTTTTGAAGTCTTTATAAAATAAATTATTAATATGTCTTACTGTTATTAAATTGTAAGTGTCCAGCTTTATATTCGTATAACCATTACAACTTTTACAAATTTGAAGGGTTGTTATATATAGAAAAAAAAAATTATATAGCCCAAGTAAATATGTTTATCTAAATAAATACATTCATTTAAAAAATGTGAAGCAAACTCGTAAGTCTTATGGTGTGTTTGGTTGGAGGATTTGGGGAGGGATTTGGAAAGGGAAAGGGAAAAGGTGTGTGAAACTATGTGAAATTTAGGCATGAAAAAAAAAAAAATTATATAACCCAAGTAAATACGTTTATCTAAATAAATACATTCATTTAAAAAATGTGAAGCAAACTCGTAAGTCTTAAAAAAACAATGGGTGAGGCATGATGTAAGAAATCCCATGTGGCCAGTCATTTATAAGACTGTCGGGTTGGGGTGGTTAGATTCTGTGTTATCTCCCCAACAAGCAATTGAGTGATCAATTGATAGATTGGCGAAAATGTCCTTCTCAAAACTTTTTTTAAAATTATTATTATTATTATTATTTTGATGATGACACGTAGAAAAAATTTATATATAAACAATTTTGATGAATGTTTTCTTTAAACTACTGAAATCAAGACATAGTACTGATTTTATGTATATTTTTCCAGTTTGTTTATAATTATTAGAAAATATTTGCGGTTCGTTTGGTTTGTATTTTTGAAAAATTTTTGAGAAATTTTCTCTACAAATAAGTTTTTAAAAGTAATCAAACCAAACAAATTTTCTCAAAAAAATTTCTCAAAACTTATAAACCAAACAAGTTTTCCAAACAAATCTCTCTCTCACACACATCAAATCAATCACTTTTTCTAAAACTTTCTCTAAAAATAATTTTTCAAAACATCTTTTGAAAAAAACTAAACCAAACAACTTTTCGTACTTTTTATCTCTAAAACACATCTCTCAAACACAAACCAAGCATTTCCTTGATCTCTTATAATTATTAGAAAACCCTTGATTTTAAGAAAGGTTAGAAAAGACTTGTTTATAATATTTTTCCTCCTCTCTCTTTCTTTGTCTCTCTCAAGCACATAAATCCTCTACCTTATCTTCAATCATGTAGGTCCCAAATAGTTTGGTAAACAAATTTATATAAAGAGAATCAACAGAGCATTATTGCAACTGGGTCCTCCTGGGTATCTCATAGTTATTCCCATTAACTAACAGCATGCTTCATTACATAATTGAAAGTAATCGATCATTTTCTTTTTAATCCAATTGACTGATTGGTTTTGATTATGTGCTCACACTCAACACTGTATCTTCCTCTTTCTTAACAGAGGAAGTCTAGCATATGAGACAAAAATGAGACTATCTGTGTTTTATTTTGTTAAAATTGTATGTGTTCTTAATATAACCGTTCATAATAATTATCTAACTTTATTTTTTTTGTTTAGCGGCCACTGGCAGTGGTTTCATTGCCCGGGACATGACATTCGAGAACTGGGCCGGACCCAGCAAGCACCAAGCTGTGGCTCTCCGCGTTGGAGCCGACCACGCGGTGGTCTACCGGTGCAGCATCCTTGGCTACCAAGACACACTCTACGTTCATTCGCAACGCCAATTCTACCGCGAATGCGACGTCTATGGAACGGTTGACTTCATATTTGGCAACGCAGCAGTAGTTTTGCAAAATTGCAGCATTTACGCAAGAAAGCCCATGGCTCAACAAAAAAACACCATCACCGCCCAAAACCGCAAAGACCCAAACCAAAACACTGGTATTTCAATCCACGCCTGCAAAATCCTTGCCACGTCAGAACTTGAGGCGTCGAAAGGAAGCTTTCCAACCTACTTAGGCCGGCCTTGGAAAATGTACTCGCGGACTGTGTACATGTTATCGTACATGGGTGATCATCTACACCCTAATGGTTGGCTGGAATGGAATGGAAATTTCGCACTTGACACCTTGTTTTATGGAGAGTACATGAACTATGGGCCTGGGGCCGCCGTAGGCCAACGTGTCAAGTGGCCAGGGTACCACGTAATCACATCAACGGCTGAGGCTAGTAAGTTCACGGTGGCTCAGTTTATTTATGGATCGTCCTGGTTGCCCTCAACCGGAGTGGCATTCTTGGCCGGGCTATCAATATAAATCAGTGGTACAGTCATACTATCGGTTCCAATAGCAAATCAATATTCCAGCGAATATCAGTATAAATCGTTTCGACACGATTAATATTGAAAACCCTGATTACAATGTGGTATATAGACGTATACTGATACTCCAAAGTCCAAGTCGAATCTAGATATGTATGGTACACTCTTTTTTCTTCTTCTTCTTCTTCTTCTTCTTCTTCTTCTTCTTTTTTTTTTTTTTTTTTTTTCCCTTTTTTATTTATTTGTTATTATCTAAATTTATATGATGTAATAATTAGTATGGGCATTGGGGCCTTCCGTTGGTAGATTTAATTGGAAATACTTATAGATAGTGAAGTCGAATAATGTCGATGGTTAATTTATTTATAGAAAATATTTGAGATTCTTAATAAATCTTTTCATAATTTTATTTATAATAAATGTTAATTTTTGATTTGTTATATATTTAATTATGAATAATATTAGGAATCATGAAAAAAAATATTATGAAATGTATTATGAAGATTTTTCATCATTTGATTAATATGTAGTGTTTTATTGTATTTATAATTTAAAAATAAAAAATCTTTTATGATTATTTTCATAATATTTTTTTTATAATTCCTAATATTACTCTTTAATTATATAAGATTTTATTTTCTTATCACAACATTGTAAATGTATTTACAAATATTAAATGTGAGTGTCTGGCCTTATTCTTTATTTATTTAGTTTCCTAAATGTATATGTAAGTGAAATGCTAGAGAGCTCTAAGGCCAAGTTTGGCATCTACTAAATAATACAAAAAGTCAAAAAGTCATTATCCTATTTAAATCACATCATCTTATTTAAATCACATCATCTCTCTAACACATCACATCAAACCCAACCAAAACTCAACCCATATAAGTCAATAAGTCAAAAAGTGCACTTTTTTAGCACATCCCAAACCAACTCTAAATCTAGAGCTCTAATTTGAGCTCTAGTGATGTGTCAAAGCAAAAAAAAAATAAAAATAAAAAAAATAAGACACAAACATCACATCAGGATGGGTCTCACCTTCCCATTAGAACTATTAGAGCTCTTATATTAGAGCCCGAAAGCATTTTTGGTATATGTAAATGTAAATGTATATAGAACACTATCTCTCTCTCTGATAGAGAATATATGTATACATATATATATATATACAGAGAGAGAACGAACCTTATGGTAAGCAAGTTAAATGGATATGCAAAATGAGGACTAAAATAGAGAGAGAGAGAGAGAGAGAGAGAGAGAGAACTTAATGATAATTTGACTTCTATCCATGATGTCCCTAGTGGAGATTGTTACGTATGTGCTGCTTCTTTTTGTTTATTTTTAAAAGTGAGGTTTAGGTTAATCTTGATGTATTTGTGTCGGTGGCTTAAAATAAGTCACTTTTTAATTATTTTAGTTAAAAAAAAATAATCAATGTGTTTAGTTTGATTTTTTTGGATTAAGTTTTTTGAAAACTCAGTTTTTTGGTTTTCGTTTTTTTTAGTGAATATTTTTAAAATTTTAAACATTTTTTTTATCTTTTTAGATGCACTTTACTTAGATGTATCTAAAAAGTAAAAAAATTATTAAAAAATATTTTAAAAAATTAATAAATACATAAAAATACAAAAAATGTACTGAATTCTCGTATTTTTTTATATTTTTGACATTTAGTGAATTTTTAAAAGTTTTTTTTACAAATTTTTTACTTTTTAGGTATATTTATGTTAGGTATGTCTAAAAAGTAAAAAAAATTGCTTAAAATATTTAAAAAATTCAATAAAAACAAAAAAATAAGAAAAATAAGAAAGTAGAATTTTCTGAAAAGTATTTTTGAAAAAACACAACCAAATAATAGTACTTAGCAATGACTTGTTTTGATGGAAAAAAAAAGAAAAAGTAAACTTTAACTAAATTTTATTACTAAAGAAAAAACAACTTTTTTTAATATTTATTCATTAAACATATAAGATTTTCTAATTATTAGTTTTCCCTAAAGAACTTGAAAAGTTATTTTATTTATTTATTTTTTCCTTCCAAACCCCAATAACCACGGCAGAATTGTGTTAGGAGCCCGGACGGCCCCTTCAGATTTTTTTTTTCTTTTTTAATTTTTTATTATTATTATTATTAATTTTATATTTATAAATATTTATAAAATATATAATGAGATGATTGTTAATTTTATAAAATTACTTCACTAACTTTTTATTTCATTAATATTTCACAATGTATAATAAAAATGACCTCTAATTAGTTAATGTTTTAAATAATAGCATCAATTAGTTAACTTTTTATAGACGTATACTGATACTCCAAAGTCCAAGTCGAATCTAGATATGTATGGTACACTCTTTTTTCTTCTTTCTTCTTCTTCTTTTTTCTTTTTTTTTTCTCCTTTTTTATTTATTTGTTATTATCTAAATTTATATAATGTAATAATTAGTGTGTGAGTGATTTTCTGATCAAACTGCCCGCTTAGTAATCAGCTAGAGAGCACTGACAGAATAGATGGCTTCAGCTAATCTGTAACAGAAAGAGAAGGCTCCGGCGGTGGTTCTTCCACCCGAGGGCACTCCGACGATCAAGTTAGTATATCTCTCAAAGATAATTAAGTGCTAAACTTACTACTCAAAGCATAAATTACGTACCTTAGACCCACGGGGTGCCTCTTTTTTATAGTTACCTCTATTCAAATCCCATTTAGAAGCCTGACTTCTATGGATTCCTATTCAGTACTTACTTTGGACTCCGCAAGAGATAAAGATAAACTCTCTAAGAGTTTTATCCTCATCTTGACTAAGTCTCCTCTTCATTCTAGGACTCTTGTCCCTTATCCGTTTATCTCGGATTCCAATATCTTCAGAGATAACCTCGGCATAATGACCAGAACATGTGGCACCTCGGCTGACACATCGGCGTCACCTTGCCACGTGTTGGTACTCAGAAAATATATCTCCACAACTGCCCCCTAGGTTCTATTATCTCGGTATTCTGGGGTGATGGAACCTATATCATTCCGTTTTCTCAGTACGTCGGTCTTCAGTATCTCAGCCGAGATCATTATTTCGGTCAACATGTCTTTGCTGAAGAACAAGAACTTCATGAATCCTTTCACGCGTATGAGCTGTCATACACCATAATTCAACTATTTTTAGCCACGCGTTTCTTTCTTACTAGTTCGTACCTGTGACACGCCTGTAAGCCGTCTCTCTCTCACGTGCACTATTTGACGCATACGTTTTTCTAGGCGTATTGATTACTTTTTGCCGCCGTTTTCATTTTTAACAAAACATTTTGTTCGATTTCTCCCTTTCACCTTATTCTTGTTTCTGGAAAACTTTTTCTCTCTCTAACTTTCTCTTCTCGAGTCCGCCATTGTTCAAGCCTCTTTGCTCTGAAACTTATTCAGTTCATCCCTTCCCGCGTGTTTTGCACCATTTCGTTGCTTCCACGACTGTCGTCTGACTTCGGCGATCTTTACACCGGCTTTATATTTTCTGGTAAGCAACTGTTTTCTTCTTATTCCAGTTCTTGATTTTTTCTAGAATTTCTTGTTATTACTGTCTTGCTCAAACATTTAATTTGTGAATCATACATCTGAATGCGTTGATTTTACTTTTTGCTTATGCCTTAAATACATATACTGTTCATAGTTTTCTTGCACGTTTTGCCACTGTTCTTGGCTTTCAACCCTTTGTATTCTTCATGTTCTTGATAGTCCATCTCTGTTCTTGATTCTGAAACTCCGCTTTTGTTTTCAGTTTTTTGTGTCTTTTCCAGATCTGTGCCTTTGATCTTCATCTCTATAGTTTTAGGTTTGGGATTTGTTTGTAGAACCCATATTTTAGGAAAAACTGAAACATTCCTTACAAATTTTTGTATTAGTTCAAACCTAGGTTTTTTTGTCGAGGTCTTATTAATCCTCTTAAAACATTTTTTCTCTGAAATCCAACCTCTCTAATTCAGGCCGATATCATGGGTATGTGGAGACATAGGGTAGATACCCCAACCAAACTCGAGTACTTTAGACAAGAGTTCTCTATCCCTGCCGATGTCCATCTGAGGCTGGCTGGAGATAACGACTCTATCATGCCCACAGATGATTCGATGCCCTTTCCCATTGTACCTTTCACTGAGTGTGGACTCCGGCTCCCACTCAACATCTTTTTTCGTGAGATTCTTCACTATTATAAGTTGAACCCCATGCAACTAGCAATCAATTCCTACCGAGTGATCAATGGCATCATAGCCTTAGCTAAACAGGAAAATGCTAGGATCACCCTAGCCGATATCCAGTACTGCTATACCATGTGTGCCCTTAATTTGAAAGAAAAAGGCTACATTTATTACCTTAAGCCGAGGTCTACAGAATTTAAAATCGTAGCCGATCTCCCAGACTCCAACAAGGGGGCTGGAGATGACTATTTCATTACCTCGGGAAATTGGGAGTTTGCTCCAAACGAGGACATCCATCTTTATCCTCTTCTTCGATCAGTTTTAGAGGGCAAGGGTAAGAGCCCAGTATTCAACTTTGCTTGTTTTCTTTCAAAGTCTTAAATACTTTGTCTGTTTCTGACGTTTGTTCTTCTTGTAGCTGTTTGTAAGCCACCGAAAAATTTTCGTCAATCCTTTGTTCCCAACAAGGATTTGAAGAAACTTCTGGACTTGCCAGTCCATAAAAGGAAAGCGCCTGTGCTTCTCAATTTTATTCCAACAAATAAGTCAACTTTGCCCGACGTTTCCAAAAGGAAGAAGAAAAGCCTTTCTCCACCCTCTACTACAACTCTATTGACTGTATCCACATCACGAACAGATCAAGGATCAACATCCGATCTAGCTGATCAGCCATCAACTTCGGCTCCATACCTGGTCCCAATATCAGAACGAAAACGTCGGCGACGACTTGTCCTTACTGCCGAAATGGGCCGCCCAAAACTAGTTGCAAAAGACCTCTTAGCCAGCATTCCATCATCTGTTGATGATCAACTAGCACAAACTCAACCTCCACCGAAGCCGAAAAGAATAAAGAAAGCTCAACCAAAGGCTAAGATAGCTCAGGTTGAATCTGAAGACACCTTGCCGATCTCAAAGTTGGTTGAGAGTGATAAATCTCAGCCTTCTGCTGGGAAGAGGTGCTCTGAGTCTTAACCACCAGAATCCCAAGACCCAAAAAGCCGAGGTCTTCTTCTGCAACAACCTTAGGATAAAAAAAACCTGATGCCCCCTGGGCCCCCTCAATTACTCTGGAAGACAAGCCTATTATGGCAAGTGACAGTGCCGAGGATATTAATGTCGGCGTTGCGCTCAGTACTGCTCTGCTGTTACCAGGCAATTTGGAG